AAGCTATTGGAATTGATTCAGTTTTTGAAAAAAATTCCGTATTTTAGTTTACTAGTTAGGTAAAAGGTTTAGTGAAAAAGGCAAACCCAAATTTAATTTGATCAGACCCGGCCAGGAGGGCCTGTAACGTCCATTTTGCCAGCTTACAGCTGTTGTTCTGCAACTCCGTGGCCAAAACAGCGCCCTTCTGAGTATCGAGTTTACTACGCCAATCCACTCCGCTTGAAAGCTAAAATTCAACCACAACAATTCAAAAGAAATAGAATAAATGTTACCACAACATTGTTCTACATGACCACTACAACATACCCGTGTTTTCACTGATTGTCTTCTCTACCCAAATTATTACTACTAGATTAGACACATTTAAGTAAAAAATAGAAAATGAGAAACGAATATTACTCATATTTTACGCATAGCTGTTCTGGAAACAAAAAATATCAGTCTGCCTCTTCCCCCGCTTTCCTATTCCTAACCAAATAACTTTCACGTTACTCTTATACCACGGAGTCTTTCAAACCCTTGCCAAAAGAAATGAATTCACAGGACTCTCACTTAAAGCAAAAAAACTAACCCTAGAATCCCACTCATTGAAGGCCTTGATAGTCAATGTTTGCGTCTCTCCATTAGGCCCTATACTGACACCATCGTGTTCTGTGCGACATACTAAGCGAACTTCAGTACCGTCAGGCTGCCTTCCTAGAGACCATCGCCGGTACCTGAAGTTTAAATAAAGTATGCACCAGCTCTTTCGGAATCACAGGCCACAGTTTCAAAGGGTAATACAGTTCGAGAATGCCTCACTTATATGCAACGCAGGAATCCGCATCTTCCCCTTCATCGAATGGGAGCCGTGGGTTTTCATAACGGAAAGGTTCCTCATTCTGTAAAAAAAAAAAAATAACGATCAGAGTGACCAGTTTACTAGCAGCTTATGAAACTAAATAAGCAATATTTTAACCGAATGCTATTTTAAGAGCAAATAAATGCACTTCATACTATTTCTACTAATACCA